TGGGCTGATTTATCAACGTCATGCTCATACTGTGCAGGAACAACACAGGGGGAACTGCTGCTTTTTCTTTTCTCATCCTTATTATCGTCATTTGTCCTCTACTTCTTTTGTACGTTTGTCACTCTCTTGTGACCTGCTATTTCCGGGGTGCCTTGATAGTCGAAGCAGACTTTGTGCTGTTGAAGCTAGAGAGGTGAGCAGAGTAAGTCTGATTCCCTGTAAGGACTTCTCTGTTGACATCCACCCCTTGGAGCTCATAATCAATATGACATTATACAGTTGCGAGTGTCGTAAAACCTTACTAAAAGTAAAGTCTCCACTGTATGTTTACAACCAGTAGCTGAAATTTTATACAGATTAAAATGCGCCCACCAAGATGAAAACTTGAAGATCTTTGGGTATATATTTTAATGAGTTTGTTCATGCCAGGGCTGGCTAAGAGTATTCTAATCTAACTACATGAAAAAAACCCAACATTTTTTGTCCCCCAAATCGTAAAGAGGAGCTAAAATCATGACATCAACCACAGAATCTGAACACAAGCAAGGTGAAATATTATACATTTTTATGTATCTTTCTTAATCTATCATACTCTGGGATATCTGCCAAGAGTAGAAATTTCTTAATTAGTAATGTCTGACCATTTGTTCAGATAATAAATAAATTAGAAAGTTAATATTTATTCCTGTGGCAAAAAAAAGGAAAAAAAAGTTTAAAAAAGAGGAAAATAAAAAGAAAGTTTGTCAGTTGAGAACTTCATTGCAGTAAAAATTTATGACATTTTTAAAAACAATTTCCTACTGAAAGTGTGATGTTAACAATCTTTCATTTGAAAATTTCTTCGTAAAAAAACAAAACAACCCCAAACATGTACAAAAACTTGTATGTATGTATGTACATTGCTGTCAATGAGTCATTGATGAGTGAGTAGATTCAATGAGGGAATGTCATGAACGAAGAAAGATCATGCTATCAACAGTTTCATTCTTTAACCACGTATCTAGTCTAGCTTCGACAACATTTTGGAGCAGGCAAAAAAAAGCATTGTGATTTAACCCTTCCAGCCCTAGCCATTTTTTAGCGCTCCCTAACCCCAGTCCCAGCCAATACAACAGTATTTCAGAAAAAGAGGCATGCATTCTAAAAAGTGATGTAGTATCTTTGTAATGAGGTTTAGATCATGACAGGTACCAATATTTTAAAGGTAAATGAAAAAATATTATGAAAATTAAAGTTTAATTAGGTTCATTAATTTAGAAAAATGTGCAAATTCGGTATCCCCCGAAACTGAGAATTTATACGCTCCTGGGACGGTGCGGAGGTACAACAAACGCTGCTGAAAATATACGAGCATGGGGCTGGAAGGATTAATTTGACAAAAGAGAAAGGATAAAAAGTTGGCTCACAGCATGTCTACTCTAGTGCCCTTATAATACAAGCTGACTGGAGATTTTTATTGACAACCCAAACACCCACCTCTAAAGTAATGGTTTCAGAGAAACCAGTAGAACTATTTTTCCCAGTTAGTCCACGGGTAAAGCATAACAGATATACTATCACTGTCGTATTACATCACTCAACAACAGAGGAAATACCATATTGCACAATTACAATTAACAACAATAATCTCATTTCTCCGTATTCCACTATTATGCAAGGCAAATTCCCGTTCCTCGAAGCTATCATTCCAACATCAACAGCTGCTAGATTACAAAGACGCCCCTTCCAAAAAAGAAAGTATCTTGAACAATTCCACAACTTCCTCTCACTCACACTGACCAACATCTGCGTCTGTGGTATAGCAATCAGGCACTTCAACAACACACACTGAAGACGTGGGATCAATTCCCATGCAGGGAGGGTTTTCTTTTTGAGTATGGTATATCTGTCTGCTGGGGGGTTGTATCCCTCTCAGCTCAGGCTGGCCCTAACACTACAGATCATTTCGTAAAAAGTTAACTTCAAACTTGCCTGTTAGACTAACAGGCAGGGTTGAAGTTAACCGTTAACTAAATGATCTGAATCATGTCCATAGGGGACGAAACTAAAACACCTACAATCATAATTTTTTTTGGACAATGACAAAGAGTATATTTCTTGAGGAATACAATAACTTTCCCATTCTAAACACCAGATTATAGCGAGCAAAAAAATCTCTTCATCCATTTTCTGGCCCCACGATGATCTTCTTCAAAAGCCAGAAACGTACAACAGCCATCGTGCAGTGCAAAAAAAATTCCTGAACTATCTACTGGCTCCATTTTGATTATTTTTCATCTCCACGTGCCAAATACTGACACTGTCATCAACCATTCTGATCACAATTCAAACAAACAAGGTGGATCTTTCTCTTTTCTCACCTTCACTCTTCAATAAGTACATCATACAGGCTTCCAGCACCAATACAAATGAAAAAAAACAAAACTTGTTACGCTGCCCTTCAGGGATGGGAGTAGACAAATGCAATAATTCTGTAATACTAATTATTATAAGTTGACTACCGATGAGTTGACGTTGTCGGGGGAGTAAGAAATAGATCAACTCATCCGAAGTTCAACTAAACTGTTGGGAACTCACTTAAAAGAGGGAGAAAAGCTGGGACCCGAGAAATATATCAACTAAATGGAAGATCAACATATTATATGGGAGTTCAACACAAGTGGTGTCGACTGTACAATAGCTCATTCCACGCCTCGTATTATTTATTCCCCTCCCACCCCCCCACCCCCTTTCTCATTTCCCCTGACAAAGAACATAGCATTATGGTATAATAATAGTAATACTATTAATATCAACAGCAAAAAAAAAGAAAAAAAAGAGAAATGTCAACTCTATTTCTGTACAAAGTTCGACAAAGAGACAGCGAAACTAATGACAAAAGTCAAGAAAGGAGGAAAAGTATCAGTGCCACGACGGAACTAGGGGAGGAAGAAGCCTGTATGAAGCCAGCGTGGAAACAGCGTCAGTGCAAATGAATGAGAATCGAGAATAAAGAAAGACATCTAAAACGAAAACAAAGAAATCAAAATATTGTCAACCACGATTTCAACGCGGCACGTGTGATGACGATGATCGCTTCTCAGAATTAAGAATTCGCGCGCGTTGAATTACATTTTCGCATACATCAGCGCCCTGACTTTTGTACGACTCGAGAGGATGCCAGAGCGCAGAGAAATTTCCTCGGAAGGCTCAAAAACGTGGAATTCCTCTGACCCGAGGAAGATCAGCATCACGGAGGAGAAGTGAGCGCGGAGGGAAAGTAACAGAGTGAGTAGTGACCAGCACCAAAGATCAAACAGAAGATTCCCTGTGATAGCAAAGACAACGGTGAAAACAGTGAAATAAATATTTGAGACAAACTTCTCTTTGTTTTACAACAACACTCCTCTTCTATCCTTTCTACACCTTAACACCTCTCATATGTTATATATACACCTCAACTCTACACCTCAACATCTCTCATATGCTATATATATATACACCTCAACTCTACACCTCACCTCTCACATGTTACATCTGCACCTATTCACATTTACCCCATTCTGTCGTGTACCTTCCAAAAACAATGAAAGAATCTTCTTCTCCAAACGCCAGATCTGAAACAAACACCATAGATCCTGTTTCTCTGCTCGGATACTCAAAAAAAAAATTAAGAACCGCTTTATTATCCTGAGTATCATTTTAAATTGTACCTACAAAGAGGGTATATATAAATAACGAATTACAATAAAATTATGCTGGTAAAACTCTAGCCGTAATGTAACAAAGAAAGCCGTAAAAATTTCATCCTGGCAAAAATGTTTTTTAAAAGATTTCATTCTTCAGTTTGTACAAAAGGCAAAAGAAATTATAGTTGTCACAAAACAAAATATCACCCTAGGACTTGTTTGATAAAAACATAAGACAAAATATCACCTTAGCATGCACTTGGTTAAAACAAGAGATAAAAAAATTATCACTGTGACAGGCATTTGGTAAAAACATGCAAGATTACAACAAATGTGCGCGTGTGTCATAAATAGAGCGTAAACCGAGCGTAAACCGAGCGTAAACCAAGCGTAAACCGCTCAGCATTGCTGAAGTACAACTGGGTTACCCTCTCTGCAAGAACTTAAAGCTGACGGGACAAACAACATGGCACACTTCCTGTACAAGTTTTGTCATTACACTAAAAAAGTATCGGAGAAAACTGATTACGGCAATTTTATCGTGAATAACGGATGACCTTATGAATGAATTCTCCAAAGTAAACGTCACAGAGCAAAGAGCCTAAAGTGCTTTCAGTGGTCGTAAGTTCGACAGCAAGTGGTTTTTTAAAAATATATATTTTTTAAATAGTAGAGTGTTTTAGTTGCGAGCGCTGTACTAAAACCCTCTACTATAAAAAAACCAAAACACTTCCTGTCTGACTTACGACCACTGAAAGCATTTTAGGCTCTTTGCTCTGTGGCGTTTACTTCGGAAAATTCATTCATAGGGTCATCCGTTATTTTGCGACAAAATTGCCGTAATCAGTTTTCTCATTTGCTTTTATAGTATAATGTACAATGACAAACTTAATACGAAAATTTACAAAATTAGTACTGTAAGCGAGCCACAGGTCAAACTTTTGTTCATTCTGCTTGAAAATGAGACAATTACTAGTGTCATGATAACCTAATACAAATATGGTGAGGCTTTGCATTATAGTATAGTACAAAAAGTGCTGTAAGTGGGGGGTTGAGGGGAGGGGAGGGGTTGAGGAGTTGGGGGTTGAGTAGGTGGGGGTGTGGG